CTGTTCCAGGAGATCTGGCAAGGAAAACTTTCTTGGGATGAAGCTTTACCTCCTGATATAAGCAAGAAGTGGATGAAGTAATGTAAAAAAGTTCCACAACTTAAAAACTTAAAGGTTTCGAGCTATATACAGTACAAAGTCCGTCAGAGAAAACTACTGGCCCATAATTGGGAGAAAGATTTGCAGAAAAATTTGCCATCAGTGCATTGTTTGTTTTAAAGCAAATTCTTCTACATAATGTGTGTTAATGAAAATTTTGCATTTAATAATACAGGAATCGATTTTTGTGGACCCTTTCTTGTGAAATACAAAAACCAGCGTAAGTACGTATTTAACATGCCGAATTTGTTTGCCTTGCAACCCGTGCAATTCATTTGGAAATTGTAACAGATCTAACAACAGAAACTTTTATTTCTTGTCTTAAAAGATTTTTTTCTCGAACAGGCAAATCTAAAAAACTTTTTACGTATAACGCACAAACATTTGTAGGTGCAGCAGCAAAGTTAAAGAGATTATTTAATATGGTGAATTCTCCTGATGAACTTCTTGCAGGATATTTATCTTCCGAAGGTGTTGACTGGAAGTTCATCCCTCCGAAGGCTCCCAATTTTGGTGGTCTTTGGGAAGCTGGTGTAAAATCATTCAAATACCATTTCAAACGTGTCGTGGGAAATACTAATTTAAGTATAGAGGAGTTTTTTACAACTGTGATACAAATCGAAGGGTTTTTGAATTCACATGCTCTTTCTCCTATGTCTTCCGATCCTAATGATTACAGAGTTTTGTCCCCCGGACACTTTTTGATTGGCGGAGAAATCACCTCTATACCCAAGCCTAATTTAACAGATATTCCTGAAAACAGACTTTCCAAGTGGTAAAAATTAACTAATTACGTTAAAAAAATTTGGCAGTTGTGGCGAAAAGTTTATCTCAGTAATTTACATCAAAAATCAAAGTGGCAGTTTAATAAAAATAATATTAAAGTTGGAACTGTTGTACTTATAAAAGATGAGAATCTTCCACCAACAAAATGGTTGGTTGCTAGAACTGTTGAGATATTTCCAGGCAAGCACGGTAAAGTAAGAGTTGTCAATTTACGGTTACCATATGGAAAATTTCTGAAAAGTAGTAGTTGTCACATATGTATCTTGCCAAATCAATAGTTAGACTATATGGGATATTATTGCAATTGTGTGTGTCATTATGTTATAATTATTTTCATTTAAGTTGTTATACAGTGTTATTGTAATATGTGTTTTATTATTATATATTATTATTATTCAACTTTTGAAAAATTTGTTTTGATATTCTTATATTGAAATTAGTCACTGGTATACTCAACAACAAATAAAGTATAACATTTGAATCATACTTTCAATGTCTGAACATGAGAAATCGATACACTGTTGAATCAATAAAAATATTAATACCGACATTTAACAAAGAAGGCATATGGCATATCGGGAAAAAAAAAGTTTATCTAATAATAAACATTTAAAGCAGTCCCCCCCCCCATTTTTCGTACTTGCCAACTTTCACTGATTTAAACTATTTATTTGCATGATTTGTATTGCAAGTAAATTTTGTTCTCTTTTCTTATAGAAATGCACTTCTATAAAAAATTCCTTCTTTCTAAAAGTTACATATGAAGATCAAGTGCATTGATCTTTACAATATGGTAACTGGTAGTTTGGAGACATATTGGAGGCGATAAAGGTTACTACCTGGGACTTTGGTAATAATGTGAGCAGTACTCAGTTCCGATTACGCATTATTTTGTGTGAGGGAAATGAGAGATCATGGGATATGTCATGTGATATTAATGGACGAATTACGGTTCTTGAATCGGAAAAGGGGGGAAATCGGGAAAAAATCTGGAAATTTTGTATTTGGTTTATTCTGTGTTGTGTGAAACAGTGTTCGTGAATTTTTGGATCCCATGGCCGTAACTAAAGAAAAGTTTATCGGACACGTAATCAAGATTCAGAAGAAGATTAGGTAAGTTAGTATTTTAATTATTTGAGGATATTATTTTTATGCATTGTTCTAAACTCTATTTAAATTTAAATAGAGTTCTTTCAACAATGAATTCTACTGATCCTGCTATTCAGTTCACTTTTGAACTTGAGACTTGCAATTCTCTTCCGTTTCTCGACATTCTGGTCACACGTAACACATCCAACTTCAGTACTACAGTTTACCGTAAACCTTCATCGGTTTGCCTTCCACCACACTTTAAATCATGTCATCCGACTAAACAAAAGTTAGCTTCATTTTATTCCTATGTTTTCCGTGTTCTTCAAGTTTGCTCCTCCAAACTAGCCCTTGATGAAGAACTAAATTATTTAAAAGCAATAGCTATTGACAGGGGCTTTTCACCCAACATTATTAATCAAGCAGTTAAAAAATTCTCATCTCAACACACTAAAAGCCACACTCTTAATTTAGGAGATTATAAAAATTCTGTTGTCATTCCCTTCTTTCCATCAATTAGCTATAAAGTTGCACATATTTTGCAGAAATTTAACTTTCGGGTTGTTTATTCTCCCATCAATAAAATTCGGACTTCTATACTCAAGGACCCCATTCCGGATATGAATTCCTGGGGTATTTATAGGATTCCTTGCCAGTGTAGGTTTAATTTACATTGGCCAAACTAAGAGAGCCTTAAAATTTCGCGTCAAAGAACATGAGGCATATGTTAGAAAAAAGGAAACACAGAAGTCTTCTGTTTGCTCAACATTGTTGGTCCGAAAATCACACTTTCAATTTTTCTGCTGCCAAAATTATTCAAAAAACATCTTCCATTGGAGAACTTTGATTTTCTAGAGGCATTTCACATTCATAAAAATCTTTCTGTTCTAGTTAACGATCCTAATTCCAATCCAAATTTGCTTTCGGCTTTAGAGAAATTATGTTTTAGTTCTGGTTTCGCCAACAGATGGCGCCACTTGCTTATTCTTGTCCAGGCTTTCTTATCTTATCTAAACATTATTTCCTATCTTGTTTCATTTGCGGTTTTGCAGCTGAAGGATGATGGTTCGGTTAAAACCATCGAAACTAGTCCTGTGAAAATTTTGTAAATTAACGCTGATTTTTGTTGTGACTTCTGAATTAGAATTTGGTATTATTGGGAAAATTGTTATTAGCAATGATTTAGTTTAAAGTAATTAGGATTGTAAGGTAATTTTTATTAATTTAATGTATGTGCTCATTTATATTTTAAGTAGTGTTTTTGAATTTAATTATATTTTAATTAAATGATAGTTATTTTGTGAATTTTATGTTTGTAGGAATTTGGTATACGTTTCAGTTGAAGTAAACATGCATGGAAATAATTTAAATATCTGACACTAAGTATTTGTAATGGTTGCGGTATGAATTCGTTGGTGACGTGTATAATGTAATAGATGATTTAGAGGTAAAAGTTTTTGGATATTTTATTTATTTTATATGTGGAAATGTTCATATTTGGAAAGGGTAAATACTTTTTCGCTTTCAGGTAATTTCATATATGTTCTTTTTACCGGGTTTAAAGATTGAGAAAATTGTCATGTATTTTTGTGAAATTTTTCTAATTTATGAGAAAAAAGCAGTGTACATATATATAGTGAAGAGTGTGCACAATGCCATTTTTGTGCAATTCTGGGATGTTTTTTTAAGTAAAAATAAGTCGGCATGTACATGGTTTATGTGTATGTGTTATTTTGAAAAACGCGTAAGGAGTATGGTATTGTGCACTTTTTTCCAATTTTGCAGTGAATATTTGTCATGATTAAGCAGTTCTGTTAGATAAAATTTCTAGCATAAGTGTAATTCGGCTAGTAGATTGTTGGAAGAAGTGTTCAGTAGATAAAAAGAAAAGAAACATGTCTTTACTTCGTGAAGACAAAATGGCGGCGGGAAAAAAAAAATAGTGGGTTGCTGTAGGAGAGTTGGTCGCCAAATTTTCGCCAAAAAAACACCAAGTTACCATAATGTAAAGATCAACCATCAAGGATTCATGATCAAGAGTTCTAATTTAGTTAATTAAAATTTGGGTCAAGTATATAATTTTCTTCTGAATATGCAGTAAGCTCATCTAATAAAAATTAAAACATATATAGGTAATTATTTATTATTAGTTAGAATTACATGTTTATGAGAAGTTACAAATGTATATTTTTTAATTTGTTCTCCTTAGTAATTAAGCAAAATTCCAAATCAATGAGCAAAAACTAAATTTTCTCCAAAACTGCATAATTAAAATACTAAAGCCTTTTGCATCAACCAGTGACATTTTAAAATTCATTTATAAAAATATTTACTATAACTTTAGAAACACCTTTAGCTAAACAACTTTATAAACAATTTTTGTCATCGCAACCTTTTGCTCAAGTGAAATTTTTATTTTTAGACTCCCCATGTTTAAATAACCATGAAATTATATTTTTTGTAAAACTAAATGTGTTAACATTAACAGATACTGTTATATGACATAGATATAGATTACTATAGATAATAATTTTATCTATATATAGAGGGAAAGGCAATAAGATATAATATACATAGACAGAGAGATACTAATTTATATATACATAGATTACTGTTATATGAAATTCATAATTTATACCACAGAATTAAAGATGTAAAGAAAAATAAAGCAAATTCAATGCTTTAACATCAATATCATTACTTTACAGAAAATGGCAGCTAATCATTGTGAACAATTTTTACAAATATAAAAATTAATTTATCCCTAAAACAGCAGCAAACATAATTGAAATAAAATTATAACTAAAAGTTAGATAAAGTTGATTTTTCAAAAAGTTCATAAATAACACAAAAATATATTTAAAAATTTTATTATTATAAACTTTTCTTAATGTTTTCTCCCAATCAGAACCATGCAAAATGGCTCAAAAAAAATAAATGACTACTAAAATAGGCTGCAAATACGATTGACAATTTTCCAAACATTCAAAGCATATGAATCTCAAACGTTTTAAAATTTTACATACCCAAAATATAATCCTGAGGTAAAAGGTCCGGCAGTGCTGGGCTCCCGGGTGAATCAATGGCATTTTTACCTTCAGCAGTAAGTTCATTAACTAAAGCATTATAAAAAATTTATTTAACATGTAAAATGAGAAATGATCCACAAAACTAAAACTGATGCAAACTTTGGATAACATACTTAGAAAGAATTTTCGAAAATGTCATAGTTAATTTCGCGATGTATAAACAATGAATTTTCTTAAAAACAAAAAGAAAGAAATAATTAAAAATTAAGAGAGAACCAATTTTTGTAAATACAATATTTATGAAGAAACATTTGAGGCACTATAATAGTAACACATCCATATATGGTTAGGAGAATGAAAAAGAGCCACTCCTAACCTAAACACAGTGGAGACAGCTGCAGTTTGTTTAAAATCATTTTATACCTTCCTTAATCTTTTTCCTTCGGCCAAGTGTTCCTAGGTACTCGAAAAAAGATTCATCTTTTTTCTTCTGAGGTGTGACAGGTCGTGGGGACTTCGGACGAGGTAAAGCCATGAGTAAAAATTAAAAGTTCCCAGCTTAATCCAACTCCCTGAAGAAATCGTCTGTTCGCCCACTGAACACTCACCGGAAGTTTTCCGGTCTCGCATCCTCAGTACAAGTTGGCCTTGGCCAAGGTCCGTAGAAAGAACAGGTTAGCTCACTTGGGGTAAACAAACGAAAATGCGTTCTCGCTGTCTATTGGCTGTGACGTCACTGAAGTTTTCTCTCCTCAGATCAACATAGATTTTTGCATTGATTTAAGCTGAATGTAAGCTTGTGCGCGACTGTGGAAACTCATTCGGTTTTTTCTTTTCTTTCTTTTTTTTTTCCTCTCAAATATAATTAAATTTATGTAGTATAATGGTTGGTACGCACTGCGCGATTGCATTATGCACCAATAATGCAGGCAAAATGAAAAATAATCAGCAAAATGTATTATTTCATAGGTATAGAAACTTATAGTGTTTTGATTGATTTAATGTTTATGCAGTGATGCAAGTTATTTTGAATTTTCGGGTTACTTAAATTAATTTATTCATTAATATATATAGAAACTTCTATGCATTTTATTAGGTATATTTAAATGCCAACGGTTTTGAAATATTGTTGTGAATTGTGACAGATGCATATAAATATGCTTAAATAGTTTTAAATTATGTGTATGTAGCTCACTGCATTAATTAACTCGTTTTACACATGGAAAAATGGCCATACAACCAGCCTTTTCTCCAGGAATTGAAGTCAAACGACCAGTGTTCAGCTAATGGGCCTTTGTCAATTTACTTAGAATTTGAGCCTATTGTACTGTTAATATGGTACATGTCAGAAATACAATATCATTAATACACGGGGTACATGTAAGCAATAAGAAGGACTAACAACACCGCAGAGTACAGAAAGCAACATTTTAGAAGTCCACAATTCATTTGGCGAGCAAATTAAGTTGTATTATTATACTTAAGGCTATCAGTTCTGGATAATTTAGTTACAGTAATTTTGCAAAGATAGTAAAGCAGTTCCTTCAGCAATATTAATTTTCTAATTATTAAGGCTTTTTCTTTCATATTATTTGAAAACAGAGTAATTCACAGCATGCATTTAAATGCAATCAAAATTTAGGAAATGTATGATTTAAGAATATAGAAACGTTTAAAAAACAAATATGCTAAAATTCTTGTAAAATATAAAATTTCATTTTCTATCTGTACTTATAATTTGTTATGATTTGTATTATGAATGAATAATATAACTTAAGCAAATATTTTATTTATTATTGTTTTAAAATTTGCATCCCATTACCATACAGTGCACCATGATATATTTCATACAAAATTTCATTTATAAAATTAAGATCCATATTTACTAAGATTTTGTTGAATGTAGTGTTTAAAATTTAGTACCAATTTTGACTTTTGCATTTAATTATATAAATTTACCTGCAGAATTATATTTTGCTAGTATCTACGTATGTAATCATTATGTCTGTGGGGATATTGTACACAGGTCATCATATTAAATAAACATCCACCCTTTTTAATTGTTAAACTGAATATGCTAAATGAAATGTAATATTTAAGTTATTATATAAACATATTTCTTTTTTGATACCAAAACAAACACATACAACATTCAGTCCTCTTAATATCTGCCCACCAGCGGCCGAGCGGTAAAGTCGTTAAACACTGGTAGTTCGGTCCGAGGTTCGAATCCCGCGAACGGGCTGGCTGCATGGTCGTTTTCGTGGTTTTTCCCCATGTGTAACGAGTATACGAGCCAGTTTCCCTTAGAAAGACCTCCCCGAAGGCATCCCTCCCTTCAAGCGCATAGCCTTCGAGACTTTGCCATAATCACACACACCACCTATTAATATCTAGGATTTACTTCTCTGAAATAAAAAATGAGGATGACAATCCAGAAAATGACTACATGTTTCATTTCGTTATTATTTTTATAAATTAAACAATACGTAAGTGAAATAAATATAGAAACCTAAAAGATAAAATTCTAAATATACAATATTAATAGCAAAACATAATAGAGGATATGCAACTATTCTTTTAATATCGTTTTACTCATTATTTTATATAAAAAGTTAACATCTTCTATCTGAATACTTTTGGAAATTTTTATTTTTTATTTTTGCTAATTTATAGTAGAAATTACATAAGGATGCAAAGCTGCTAAGATTTTAAAGAGTCTGCTGATTAAGTATTACACTTCCTTTCAGTTATAGCTTGAATAGTTCATTTATTTATGTTTCTTGTTGCTGCTTTACATCAAGAAATTACAAACAAGTTTTAGAATCTAGCGAGTTATAATTTTATGCAATTTCTTTTTTTTTAATCTATTAAAATTAATCATATATTACAGGAAAATCTCATGCGAGTTCATCTGAAAAAAAAAAAAAAAGCAACAAGTAAACTAAGATTTCTAAATGAAACAAATACTGCAGAAACAATTGGACCGAAAGTAGACTTTAGTAAAAAATTAATTTAAATTTCAGCCAAATTAGATTTCAAACATTAGGGACAAGTTTGTACAGCTTTATAGAATAAATATTCTTAATTTGAATTTCTTCTATATCGCTACACTCAGGGCTTAATTTCTAAAATTAGAAGTGCCGGAACCCTATGGAAGACCGTTAGTAAAGAGGAACAAGAGTAAAGAAATAAATAAAATGACTATTAAAATCATTTAGCATTTAAAAATTAAATAGTTAATTATTATCAAATTAATAAATAATTACTTAATTAATATTAGCATTTAATATTTATTAATTATTATCTAACCATTAATTAATAATTGATTATTATTTATTAAAATAATTCAATAAAATGTAAAGAGGTAAATTAACATTTAATAAGCGGTTTTTAATATAATTTTATTGCTGCTAAAAATAAAATTTTTGAGATTAAATTTCTACTGAAATTGTAGTTCCGTTAATTACATAAAAGAAGTGTCGGAGCCTTCTTATGTAGGGCTCCGATGCGCTCCGGCTAAAATTATCATTTATCCCATGAACTGAAAAGTACCGGAGCCGGCAAAATTTAAGCTCTGACTACACTACATATTTTCCAGTTCTTTGTGAAATGTGGGTTTTCAGTCTGTTGAAGCTAAAATGAGTAACGGTATAAACAAGCTGAATCTTGAATAGGCAAATTCTGTAAGGAAGTTTGGAAGACTTTTTGGTGAAACAATAAATTACTGAGGTAACTTTTCGTAATTAAAACTTATTCTACACTGTAAACAATATTTTAGGTAGTTAAGTTTCGACTCCAAATATTCAAATTTTTACTTTTCCGATGAAAAACAGAAAATATTTTCAAAAGGAAATACGAAACTACTATTAGGAGATGCTACAGCGAACTTCAGTGACGTCACAGCCGAACGAGTCGCTGGCTTTTCGTTTGTTTACTCCAAGTGAGCTAACCTGTTCTTTCTACGGACCTTGCTCAAAGTAGGCTTTAGCAAATTAAAATAAATTTAAATTTCAGCCAAATTAGATTCCAAACATTAGGGACAAATTTGTAAAGCTTTATAGAATAAATGTTCTTAATTTGAACTTCTTCTATTGCAACATTTAAACATCACTACGTATTTTCCAGTTCTTGTGAAATGTGGGTTTTCAGTCTGTTGAAGCTAAAATGAGTAACGGTATAAACAGCTGAATCTTGAATAGCAAATTCTGTAAGGAAGTTTGAAAGACTTTCGGTGAAACAATAAATTACTGAGAGAACTTTTCGTAATTAAGACTTATTCTACACAGTAAAGAATATTTTAGGTAGTTAAGTTTCGACTCCAAATATTCAAATTTTTACTTTTCCGATGAAAAACAGAAAATATTTTCAAAAAGAAATACGAAACTACTATTAGGAGATGCTACAGTGAACTTCAGTGACGTCACAGCCGAACGAGTCGCTGGCTTTTCGTTTGTTTACCCCAAGTGAGCTAACCTGTTCTTTCTACGGACCTTGGGCCTTGGCATCCTAAAACTGAGTTTTGCAAAGACTAGGTGGCGCTAGAATTGTGTCATTCTCGATCCAATTTCACTCGATTGTATAATGCAGATTTTTTTTTTGGTTAAATAATGGCATAGGATGAGTCAAATTTCCCCCTTTACTTCATTTAATATAGCAGCATGTTTAATTTTACGTAAGGAGTTCTGCATAAGGTTCGGAGAACAGCCTTAACGCCAAAACGGGGAGAAACAGCTTATTATGGTAACCCACGTTATGGTTGTCATCCGATGACGTACTTCTAGGAGGACAGCGTGATACTTTTTCCCTGCTAAGGGATTATCCGTAGTAGCAGATCGGGATACGTATTCGGAAAATGTTATTATGTTTGCTGTTTGCTTATCAAACAATGAGTATTAAATTAGAAACAGCGCATAATTGAATAAAATATAAAATATTGATAATATATGTAAAAATAAGTGTCTTGCACCTGTAAATATTTATTTAATGCTTTATTTTCTGTTTTCATTTGCTTTGTTATGCTTCCCTGTACTCATCGATGTTCAAACATGGTTTATTCTATAGCTTTTAGTATTTATTTTATGTGCATTGATTGAAAGTAATCTATAAACATTTTCTTGTACTTTCTTTCTTGCAATGTGTGCTTTCATATCGAACTGTATCTTGAGACAATATCTAGCTGGCCGTAGTACACCTTTGCCTAGCGGTTTGTTCGTTAACGGTGTCCTCCCCAAGGAGCTTTACCCCAAAGGCCTGGTAAATTAGGCGACTGGCAAGCCCACTTTAAAATCATACAGCAAACAACTCCGAAAAAGCGCCTTTAATGCGTCCATCTCAATCAGTGGCTGGCTGTGTGAGTTATGTTTGAAGGTCTATGCCTATGTCGTAACACTTAGTATAAGAGGCAATCGGCCATTAACGGCCTTTACCAATATATTATACTTGACTTTTAAATGCGTGAAGAATCGAATAAGTTGTATCCAATAATATGGAAGTACTTATGGACTTACTAATATGGAAGTGTGCACATGCTGTGCTAGAACTCAGAGATTACTAGCGAAAGAAGGCTCCTGTGCTGCAGTCCGTAGAATAAGTGAGGCGCTCGTCTGGCGCCATCTATTTTCTTGTGTCGAATGGAAA